TATCGGGAAGTATCTTGAGCATTTGGGCAATACGAGTACTCGCCCAAATACTAGGTATCGGCACCTTACAAAAGATAACTATGGCCTAACCTTTTTTTGCCATAGTTCCCTTCAGGGTCACAGGAGGACTTATACTAATGTCCTCCGGTGACCCAAAACTCAGCATATAGCAGGCCCAGAGCCCTGCCACAGCCAGGACGGATCCTGGCAATACTGTTGAGATCCACCCCACTGGCTCATTGACAGCTGCCTCACTAGAGGCAGAGCCAGCTGTGACCGCCCCCTACCCCATGCGTTCCTCCAGTCAGTGCCGAAACAAAATGAGAGGGGAATGCCTGCGGGGAGCAGTGACTGACAGCTTCAGTGTCACAGGTTGGCTTGAATTATGGGGATGAGTGTTTTTCACTCCCCCCATAAGCCTCCTTTAACTCTTAACAAAAATTTATTTTGTGTATCACTTAGTTGTAGATCCTCAAATCATGTCTGAATTTGTTTCCGACACGGACACTGTCCTCCTTGGCTACTTTTACACATAAGGTACAGTATTGTTTATAGTTAGGGTACTTGAATATATTTTAAGTATTTAACTTCTGCGTTAAATGTGTCACTTTAATGTTTAGCCAAAGATGTATACATAAACTAAATCTTGGTAATAGGTGAACAACAAATATAGAAGTGCACTGCTGTTGTAGGGTCACACTGCTGAGATACATAAAAGGAATTAAAAAGATGAAAAAGCGCACAACTAATTATTGGTCAATAGGTTGAGGGAATGTGAAATGATATGGTCATTATAAATACGCTCCTCCGATAAGCTCCTTATAACAGGGAGAGGAGCCCTGTGGATCGATAACAGCAAAAAAATAAAATAAAGGATTATAGGAGCGCTACTACCCTGGGAATGCTGGTGTCTAATTAAATATAAGGAAGGCAATAGACTCACAGTTGGAAGGTCCCCTGGCGTCTGGGTGACAGTTCCCTGGCTCGAAGGATAATCTCCAGTACTGGATGGTGGCGGGTCTGGAAGGAGTGTGAAGCAGAGGTGCAGCACACGTACTCGGCTGGCCAGGCCGAGCCGCGGCAGCTTGGAGAGAGAGAAGAGGAGCCGCGAATAGCTCTGAGACGCCGGGCGTCCACAGATTCTGTCGGGCTCTTGTCTCAGGGGTGTCAGAAGTCTCGCAATAAAATCCGAAGTGGTGGAGAGCTGTACATGAGATGAAAGCTCTTAGTGGGAAAACGGCTACACGTTTCGAGGGATGCCCTCTTCTTCAAGGCTTGCTGCATCCCCCTCTCTCTCTCTCTCCAAGCTGCCACGGCTCCGCCTGGCCAGCCGAGTACGTGTGCTGCTCCTCAGCTCCACACTCCTTCCAGACCCGCCACCATCCACTACTGGAGATTATCCTTCGAGCCAGGGAACGGTCACCCTGTAAAACAGTAGGAAGGACTGCAACCTGATTTGAGGACCAATCTCAACACCCACCCATCAGCAAGGAGGAGGAGCTTCTGGGGCAAAGCCCTAAGTGAAAGCTTGTCTGAGTACCCTGCCTATCCTGGAACCTTAAGAACCTATCTGACCCCCCCAGATCCATTTGTGTACCTGGAGCAACAATCATAAGATTATCAGGATGGCAAAGAACATTTGCTGAAGTAAAACCACAGCAAGAAAGATTGCCAGAAAGGCCTATCCATGAAGTCTGCAAAAGAAACAAGAAGGAACGACCTAGACCCAGGAGTGTAGATCTCATGGAGTCGTTCGAACATTACATACTTTAAAGGGTTCCTGCATCAAGAAAATACCTTGTTCAGCATGTAGACGACTCAGAGTATCATGAGACCTCCCTGAACAAGGCCAACACCCTGGAGAAAACTCGAGGTGCATGGGTAAGCCTGAACCAAGCGGTTCAAATACTCCTTGGACACAGTGTCCGCATTCCAGCTCTTAAACCAGCGTGCTCTGCTTATCTGCATGGACAACAGATCCATACAGGACAAGCTGGTATGCTTATATCAGACTGTCACAGTCGAAGTGTAAAGTTGCTTACATCAGCTCCACGTGCTTAATCTGGAAAGGATCCATGGCCGTAGTGGAGCGGTCAATTTAAAGAGATTTAGCTGGTCTAAGAAAAGACCCTCAGCTGATCCCAAAAAGATTTAGGCAATGTGGAACTCCATACCTAAAAAGTCAGAGCAGACATTCACCTTGCCAAAGTCTGAGCTATCAAAGAAAAAGAACTTGAGAATGACTTGGGTCTGAAAAAAAAAAATCCATTGAGTCTAACAGTGGCTACAGAGTCCACCTTGATGGAACCCAAGATTTGACCACACAAAGGCAGCATTACCAAAAGAATAAGGTATATGGGCAGTTCCCATACATGGGTGGGCAGGGGAAGGAAGGTGGATTTTCTGTAAAACAGTAGAAAGGACTGCAAATCTGATAGAGTTGAGGACATATCTGTCACTGAGACAAATTGGACCAGTATCCATCTATAGTTGAGAAGTGTGTTGGGTAAGATCCACCTGGAGCGGTTAGTTTGATGTTCATGTAGATTTTATAGTTGTTCTGTGATAATAATGATCTAAATATAGTGTATATAGGAGATAAACTAAATGGTCATTGAGCTGCCATTAGTATATACACTGAGTGGCCAGATTATTATGACCACCCCATCAGTACTTCGTTGGGCCACCTTTTGCCTTCAATACTGCGGCGATTCTTCTTGGCATCGACTCCCCGAGATGTTGAAAGGTAATGCAAGGAATCTGACACCATGCCTGATTAATAGCACTGTCCAGTTCTGTGAGATTTGACGGTTGTGGAACCAGCTGCCTGATGGCTCTTTCAACTTCGTCCCACAAATGCTCAATTGGATTGAGATCTGGTGATTGTGGGGGCCACCTAAGCAAGGTAAATTCTCCCTCATGTTCTTGAAACCACTCCTGCACAATACGAGCACCTTGGCATGGCGCATTGTCTTGTTGGAAGAAGCCATCTCCATTGGGATACGCCATCAACATGATAGGATGAACTTGATCAGCAACGATACTTTGGTATGTTGTGCTATTCAGACGTTGTTCCACACGAATTAAAGGGCCCAAATCATGCCAGGAAAACATGCCCCAAACCATAACACTGCCCCCACCAGCTTGAAGGGTTGTACTCATGCATGTGGGTGCATGCTTTCATGCTGTTCCCGCCAAATTCTCACTCTGCCATCTGCATGATGCAACTGGAAACGTGATTCATCGAACGCCTGACTTTCCAATGCTCGACTGTCCAATCCTTGTGTTCCTGTGCGAATTGGAGACGTTTTATCTTGTTAACTGCAGATAGCGAAGGTGTTCGAACAGGTCTTTGGTTTCCATATCCCATACGATGCAGTGTACGGCGAACAGTGCGTTCAGAGATCATTTGAGAGGATCCCCGATTAAGATCTGCAGTAATTTGATGCACTGTTGCCCTTCTGTTGTCTTGTACCAGTCTTGCCACTCTCCGTTCTGCCCTAACATTGAATAGTCGCTGACGGCCACAATTCACACGTTCAGACCCAGATTTTCGGCTGACAGTCCAGTCTTTAAACACTTTAACAACAGCTGCCCTTGAACATTAAAAAAATTCTGCTGTTTTGCTGATACTCGCTCCATGGCTCCAAACGCCAACAATCATCCCACGTTCAAAGGCTGTTAAATCGCGTTGTTTACCCATATCTTCAGAAAAAATCACATCTACTGTCGTGGTAAACAACCTGCTTCCCTATTTATGATGGTCTGGCCCTCTAGCAACTTCAGCGTGAAATTATAGCTAATTTGCCTACAAACGTCAGGTGGTCATAATAATCTGGCCACTACACACATACATATACACATACACATATACTGACACTGGAGAGGGGACCAGAGGGAGATCGTGAACCGACCTCCCTCTAATCCCCTGTCAGAGATGCACTTCCTTAGCCCCCTCTGTGATAGCAATAAAGTTAAGTGGAAAAAAAATTACAGTTTCCCAAATTATTTTTTTAAGTTACACATAAAAAAGAACAAAATTTTTTTAAAAGTCCCCACCCCTACATACACGGATGTAAACATGCGTCAGGTGCACATACCTGCAAAAACGCTGATTGCGCCCATTATGTCGCACATGTTACATATTGCCATGAACGTCGCAATGAGAGCAATCATTTTAGGGCCATCAATCACTGATAACACGAAACTGATGAGCTGTAAAAGCCTTTAAAGCATCGCCTACGGTCAATTTTGGGTATGCTAGTTTTTTCCAATTTTGCGGGTGCGCGCAATTTTTAAGCTTGACATGTTTGGTGTCTATTTACCCGACGTGACCCAGTCTTTTATATTTTACCAAAAAAGTAGGTAATATTAATTGTTTTATAACAATATAAAAAAACCTTTTTTTCCCCAAAATTTTCAGTGATTTTTCCTGAATATAGTAAAAAAAAAAAACCCCAGTGGTGATTAAATACCACCAAAAAAAGCTCTATCTGTCCCCCAAAAAATGGTATAAAATTCACTTCAGTACAGCGTTGCATGACGGAATAAATGTCAGTCAAAGTACCGCAGCGCTGAACACTGAAAAATGGCCTGGCCAGGAAGGGGGTCTAAACACCTGGTCAGCAAGTGGTTAAAGAAAATATATTTAGAAAATCACTATATATTCACTTTAACTAAAAGTTTGAATAATACCATCAAGGCAAACATGTCATTTTCCATTGTTCAAGAAGAGTAGCAGGACTACTGTAAAAACTATCAAAACACTGAATTTGACCATATCTTAAAATATTCAAACAATTACACTATTGGAACAGTCTACATGTGCTCTATAAATTTGGTTTCACTGTAAAGAGTTTCTCATAAAGTTCATTATTTACACACACATTTACTTAGATCCTTTAACGTATACAAGTACATATTCTTATGCTTAAAACCCCATTAGGCTAGATAAGACTAGAATTAAAAAATCAGACTGGAAAAGAGACATTAAGACTTACTTTTTTAGAGTTGCTGAATTCACAGATTACTTCTTTTTCCTCATTTCTCATTACAGGAACTTTGGGAATGGTTCCCACAAAAATATGGCTCCTAATTACTGGTAGAAGATCAAAACACAAGTCTTCAATTTTTTTTAAAGCCTTCGTTATAATGTCTTCATCAACACTGCTGTCTTTTACAACATCTGGGAGCAGCTCACAATAACTAATATTGTTGCAAGCCGCTTTGTGTTGCACTTCTGTATCATTTTTTGTAGGTGCTATGGAACAGTTTTTCATAGTTTCTATAACTGGAGACTCTGTGTCTAGGCGAAGCCTTTTTGCACTTCTAGGCATAAGGAAGGCATCAGAAGTTCTTTTACACAGGGAGGCAATGCTGCTAGCTTGCTGTTGACTCTCATAACTGCTTAATTTGTCTTTACTATTGTCAGCTTTTGAATTGCCCCCGGTTTTTATAAATGCTGTAGAAGTGGATGTAATAGGTTTAAACCCAGTTATTTGGCTGACGGATACGTTTTTGCCACCTGTAGGTAAACCTCGATTTAGCTGAACATGACCTTTTAAGATGTTTAATGTTCGTGCTCGTGCAGATAATTCTGGGTACATTGTGTCCAATATTTTTACAGAATTTTCTTGAGCACAGGTTGAAGAGCTACTAGATGCAGAAAGAGGTAATCTTCCTGGCACAGGGAGAGCATGTTTTGGTGTGGCAGCGCAGAACTGCAAAGGAGAAGACAAAATTCTACTGTTTGCTTTCTCGGCAGGTGATGGAGTTGCAAATACTGGAGATTTTTGTCTGCGCCTATCAGCCAAAGGTGACACCAATCGTGGAAATGGAGTGCCCGGCAAAGGCGAAATCAAGTCATCAGGAGGCGATGGTAGAGACGAACAACTCGAAGATGACAAAATGGGTGAAAGAGGGTGTACACTTTTTGGAGGAGTTGCCAACAGAGGACCTAGCAAAGGAGGCAATGGAGGACCCATTTCTGACCTTACTTTAGTGATAGTTTCTGGTGAATGATCCGAGTTGGTTGATGTATCAGCATTTCCAAGCACATTTTCTCCCACCAGTATATTATGTAAACTTTGTTCACCTTGAGAAAGCTTTTGTTGATGGTTTTCTTTACTTACTGCTTGACAAATTAAATCTGTATATTTTACCTTTTGGGATCCTTTGAGTTTTGGCTTTTTCTCAGTTCTCTGAAACAAGTTCTCTGAACCACTATGTAGCATTTTTACATTTGCTTTCAGTTTATGTTTTCCAGAAATAACTCTAGGGTCAACTGAATCATCAGGTCTTTCAAAATTCCATATTAAGTTTTTACCTGGAAGTGTTTTTCTGGCTTCATTCTCTATAGTATTACAACAGTTCTGACCAGTATTTTTATAGGAATAGTTAATACTTTCAGATACCTGTTTTTCACATTCCTCCAAAGCAGGCGTTTCCTTTATTTCACCAAAATGATGATCTACAGTATTGTTAGCATCTTTTTTGCCATTCTCCGAGTTTGCAATTATGTCAACTCTAACTAAAGAATTGTGCTCCATCAAGATGCCATTTTCAGTTTTTTCAGAAGCACCACATGCCGATACATGACTTGCACATACCATGTCAGCCAAATTAGTAACTACAGGCTGAGATGGTGTGCCATTTAATACAAAATGTACACTGCCGACCTTCTCAATACTTTCTGAAGCACTTTTACAATATCCCTTGAGATTCACAGCATTCCTGGAGACAGCTTTTGTGTAGCTGACTTTACGTATTAAAAAATCATCTTCTTCACTACTATCGTCAGTAATTTTATTTAATACCTTATTCGAATCCGACGGTACATTAGGATGTTTTTGGTCTTCTAGAGGAATTATTTTAGGCGTATTAAACTTCATGGGAAGGGTGTCGTTTGATTGCAAAGTATCAAGGTTAGATTTTTCCAAAGCAGAGTCCAATTCAGCATGAAACTCCTTTTCAGGAGTCACACCTTTACAAAGATCTTTATCATGTTGATCTGTGCTCTCAGGTACAAGATCAACTGACACATTAATACATTGTTGATTGCTCTGCAGAGGAATACCATTTGCACTCAAAATATGTTTTCCTTCTAGCTTATTTAGGAACCCATCTGCATTAGTAATATCAGAATTTGAAATGTGAAATGTGTTGTTTTTATGCAGTAAAACAGTGGAGAGCGATTGAACGCGTCTTGCAGAACATAACTGATCATCAACTGATTCACTTTGAGAACAGATATCTTGTTGGTTTTCTATAACTGGTTGTACATCTGTCACAACTTCTTTTTGCGCTTTTGAAGAAACCAGTGTATACAAATTTGATTTGGAGGAACATGGCTGATCAGTTTCTGATGAACCTATTTTACACTTCTCAGTTACACTTATTTTACTGCCCAATTCATTTGTATCATGGTTGGATTCCTTTGTATTCTCCATTTTGATTGTGTAAGTTTGGAAATCAGAATGCATCTCTTCTCTACTTTCGTCTTCTAATATCTCCATTGAAAGGCATATGCTATCCTTGCCAACAACAGATTGAGACAAATTGTTTTCTTTATCTGCTGTACTAGAATCCAGTTGCAATGATGTTTTTGTACTCACTTTAGCCCTCTGAAATGTATTATCAGTTAAAGCTGGCACAATAGTGAAGGAATCTTGCATGCCATAACCTAGTTCATTAGACTTTGTTTTGTAACAATGCCCATCCTCTGCATTACTTCTCACAGACAACTTTTTCTCAAGTGACATTCTTTCATTTTGCACAGATAGCTCCTGAATGTATTTGGGATCAAGTTGATCCATTTTGCCAGTATAATTGTTTATCATCTTGGTATATTCAGACTGTACAATGGGTGAACTGCTTAAAGGCCCTATTTTTTCTTCAGGATCATTTAGAGAAAGCTGCACTGTTTCAGCAGCAAAATGCATTTCCACATTCCCCAAAGTGCTATTGTAGGACTTTCCAGTTTCAACATCTTGAAAACTTTTTGACTGTTTGGAGTCATAGTTAAACTTATGGTTAAATTCAATTAAACACATTTCTGGTTGGGTAGAGAACAGTAAATTATCTTGGCCTCCGTCTATATTAGTAAGATTAGAATAATGCATCTTTTTCTCCACACTTAAATTGTGAACATGATATTCCCCAGCACCGGTTATATTGTCGTGAACATGAGTTTCTCCAGTACTGGTTACAGTGTTGTGAACATTATTTTCTCCAGAACTAATTATATTGTCATGATCACGATTTCTTGCAGCACTGGTTATATTGTTGTTAACATGATTTTCTCCAGAACTGGTTATAATGTCGTGAACGTGTTTTTCTCCAGCACTGGTTATATTGTCTTGAACATGATTTTCTTCAGCACTGGTTATAATGTTGTGAATGTGTTTCTCTCTAGCACTGGTTATATTCTTGTGAATATGACTTTCTCCAGCGCTGGTTATATTGGCGTGTACTTGAGTTTGTCCAGCACTGTTTATAGTGTTGTGAACATTATTTTCTCCAGAACTAATATGGTCATGGAAATGATTTCCTGCAGCACTAGTTATATTATCGTTAACATGGTTTTCTCCAGCACGGGTTATTTTGTCGTGAACATGATTTTGTCCAGCACTGGTTATAGCGTTGTGAACGTGTTTTTCTCCAGCACTGGTTATATTTTCGTGGACATCATTTTCTGTAGTACTGGTTATATTGTCGTTAGCATGATTTTCTCCAGCACTGGTAATAATGTAATGAACTTGTTTTTCTCCAGCACTGGTTATGGTGTCGTGAACAAGATTTTCTCCAGCACAGGTTATATTGCTGTGCACAGGATTTTCTTCAGCAGAGGTTATACTTCTGTGAACAGGATTTTCTTCAGCACCAGTTAAATTGCCGCAAACAGGATTTTCTTCAGCACTGGTTATACTGTCGTGAACAGGATTTTCTCCAGCACATTTTGCAGATTCACATTCATTAGAACACATTTCCTCAAGGTTACAGTTAGGCAAAGCAGAATCTTTAGAAATTAACGTCTTACTAGCATTTACAGATGGGTTGCACTGGATAGGTAAATTGCATCTTGCAGAACTTGAACCATCTTCTTTAGAACACTGCATATTTTTAATGACCAGTCTTTCTGAAAAATCTGCTTCATGAACAGGTTGCTCTAACGGGGAGGTCATGTCACCAACTGTATCAATAGAGCTAGGATTTAGTAATTCAACTTTAGAATTATTAATGCTGCTTATTTTTCTGACTGGAACATTTAGGTTAGGATACCATACTGAAGATTCTTCAATGCCATTTGCCCTGTTGATAGCAGGAAGCACAGTGTTCTCCTTCTCTGCTGGATACTGTTCACTTAAAATTTTTGCTGTCAATGCATTGGCAACAGCAAAACTGACTTCAGTCTGGATTGGAGTTATTTCTGTATCTTTTTTGTCTGTTCCTATTTCTGTTATCGTAGTGAGGTCACCCTCATAATTAGAAAAAAATTCAGACTGAGATTTCATGCAATCGTTAACTACAGATACCGTGTCACTTTTCTCATTTCTTTTAAACCCGACATTTTGTTTATAATTCTCAGTTACATTTCCTGTTTCTGGGCAAGGGGAAATATCCATCTGGTCTTGAAGACAGGTTAGCTCATTTCCCAGTGCTGTACAGCTTACTGCTTTGTTTCCCACAAATTCATCTCTGCCATCAGAGGCCTCATTATCACTCGAATCTGTAAATTCTCCAAACACGTACTGTAAAAGAAGAAAATAAGTGGAAAGTTTATTTTTTATTTTTCTCTCCTTTGGGCCATGTCTCCCAATGAAGCATACAGAATGCTCAACATGTGTATTAGTGTTGATGAGAAATTAAATACTTGGTGGGGAATTTATCAATACTGGAGCAGACAGAATCTGGAGCAGCTGTGCATGGCAACAAATCAGCTTCTATCTTTAATTTTCAAATCTTACTGAGCAAACTGAACTGAAGGGAGATGCTGATTGGTTGCCCTGGGCAGATTTAGTCTGCTCCAGTTTTGATAAATTCCCCCCTTAGTATTTATAGACATATAACAATAAAAACATGAGTTTAAAAAAAAGGCAAGATATTTTTTGTTTCTATTACTGTAATGACCGCTTCCAATAAACTTAAAACACAACGCTAACTTACATCAAAACGGTTATAAAGTGAACCTTTCCTTTTCCAATTGCCAATCCCTAGGCCAAGGGAAGAAAGCCCTGTGTAAGCACTAAACCAACTTGTCAGAGCTCCGACAGGGCTATGCATGCCTTTCTTGGCTCCAAACAATAGTACTGGGTCAGTCAAAAGGCACCTAGAGCTGTTGGTACCCTAGAAAAGATTATAAGCTATTGGATCATAGTGATATGTCAAGCTATTTTTTTTTATAATTAGTATCATACATTAAATCAGTCAGTAAGTCTATTTAAATGGAAAAAAGTAGTCACTGTAGGTATCAATGCACATGTACCACAAAAAGCAAAAGGAGAGAGTTCTTTGAGGAGATCAGACGGAAAACCATAGACAAACATGATAAATGTAAAGGCTATAAGACCATCTACAAGTAACGTGATGTTCTTGTGACTATATTTGCAAATATTCCCTACACCAAGTTCAAGGAGTTCAGCAGATCAAAGACATGGAGGGCATGTTCAGACAGTAAGTGCCCCGAGCACCCCGAAGCCTGGAACCCGGGGACCCTACACCCCAATCCACCATCATACCCGTCCTCTGCACCTCATTCCACCATCATACCCATTCTCTCCATCCCTGCACCCCATCCCACCATCATACCCGTCATCTGCACCCCATCCCACCATCCTCTCCATCCCTGGACTCCATTACACCATCATACCCATCCTCTCCATCCCTGCACTCCATTCCATCATGCCCGTCCTCTGCACCCCCACTCCACCATCATACCCGTCCTCTCTATTCCTGCACTCCATTCCACTATCATACCCGTCCTCTCTATTCCTGCACTCCATTCCACCATCATACCTGTCCTCTTCAATAACACCAGCTATAGAGAATTTACAGGCCTCTCTTATCTTTTTAAGTGGGAGAACTTGCACAATTGGTGGCTGACTAAATACTTTTTTGCCCCACTGTACATCAGATCCCAGCAATAATACATTATACAGCGCATTGCAAGAATACCAGCAGCTACAGAGGACTACAAATCCCAGCAATAGTACATTATAATATAATGTACTATTGCTGGGATTTGTTGTATTCCTCTAAAGCTGCTGGTATTCTGCATTGCGCCGCTGTATAATGTACTATATTGCACACCACACTTTTTTTTATTTTCACCGCTCCAAGCTTGCTCCCGTGATGGACTACAATCTCAATACAAACTAGTAGTCCATCACTG